CATGACACCACGGCGGCAGCATGGATTCTTACTGCACCGACTGTCTCTGCATAAAAATACCTAATATTTTACACTAGGGCCTAGCCAGGGCCCAACTGTATATGGAGTATAATTTATCATAACATAATATACTGCAGTACCACTGTACTTTATTTTAAATTGAGAATGTGAGAAAATGTGAGTACTTCTGTAATATTAAATAAATCGTCAACTGCCAAGCCAGAAATCGACTGCATCTGTATGCTAGGCTACCGTCATTTTGATTATATTGATCGTCAGTCAGCGGAGGAAAATGACGTTTTCAAATGATGTATGACTCAAAAACAAAAGTAACTGACGGAATTATAGGTTTCCCTGTTACAACAACGACACATGTACGCATCCATTGTGTACTACAGGACTTGAATAGGGATTGTTAATTTGACGTGATGGACATTGATAAACAATTTCGGGTAGACGCGAGTGCGTCAAAATAACAATGTTTAGACGGTGTAGGCCTTGAACGGACGCGTCATGGACGCAAACAGGACGGAAACTGGATGCGTCTGTTGCGTCTAAAAATTTGCATTTTTTATGGACGGTACTGTATGTCTCCCTGCTTTCACTAAATGTGCCTTCCCATATTTTGAAGGGGCTCTGTTGTAGGAATGACTGTGGACCCATTTATACAACATACCATTATTACATGCCTTGTCAGCACGGAAATGTTAAGGGGTTGTATTTAAACAAGTTTGGATTCGGTGTGAACCATCTAGAAAAGAAGCAAATTGAGTAATCGCCAAATTTGGATGGTTCATGACCCTGGCTATGCCTACTTGTTTCCCCAGGCTACGGCGAGTGGTAATTAATCAATTCGACAGGTCGCTAATAAGAAAATAAATAGAGTTTATTCAGCCGGGTCGTTAAAATATACAAGTATCGCTGGATGTATTTAGAACAATCCACAATTGATAAAATGGTTGCTGGTATCGCGATATGTTTGAAATGTTTCAGTACTGTACGTAATAGGATTTATTTGAATCTTGTATTTTATTTGACAGTACAGTATTTAACATTTTGTTGGTTTCATTTTTTTTTAAACTATTTTTTTAGTATTGTAATTTATTTTTAATTTGTATTTTGTGTGATAGACCTTACTTACCATTTTTAAAATTTTCTTTATGAATTAACACAATCGATCAACGATAAACAATCCAATCCTCTTCCAAAACAAACCGTGCAAATTCAGCGGATGTAGGATTGCATTATACGATACTTTTGTTGTGCAAAACTTGTAATGCCGTATTGTATAACCGGCGAAGTTTGGAGGCTCGCTTTGGGTAGTGAGTATACCCTGTCTCTTATACACATCTTCAGCACGGAAATGTTAAGGGGTTGTATTTAAACAAGTTTGGATTCGGTGTGAACCATCTAGAAAAGAAGCAAATTGAGTAATCGCCAAATTTGGATGGTTCATGACCCTGGCTATGCC